GGGATCCGCTGTGTAAAAACTTGCTGGATAAGTTGGTGGTTCATTCCACGGTGGTGACCCCGGATTAATAAAGGGACTAAGCCGACAGGAAAATGAATGAATATTTAAATATTATTTAGCAGGGACCCATTAAATTGATCAAAAGTGACAGCAGAGATATTTACAAAACATTTCTATTTCACTAAATTAAGTTTCTTTTAAATTTTCTTTTCATCAAAGAATCTTACAAAATGAAGCAGCATTGACAATAATAATACATACAGCGCTCAGCATAATTGAGTACACCCTATTTTGAAAGTGAATATTTTCCTCCATTTCTCAGTGAATATATGCGATGTATTTTGGTGCATTTAAACTAAACAGATTTATTAAACAGATATATTTATTTCAATAATATTTTAGTCACCAAACATATTTAGAAATTGAAAGAATATTGCAAAAAAAATTACAACCTACAAAATTTCAACAAAAATTTTCCCCCTTTTTTTTTTTTTTTTTTGCTTCTCTTGATTTTTCCTCTTTTTTTAAATTTGTATTTAATATTTTTCTTTAACATATAAATTTGGGTGTTCTAGTTTTTAAACCATTACCTTAAGTTATTTTGCTAGATCAGCTCCAGATTTGGCTTCAGTACTGACTAATCTAATGTATATGCACAAATATAATAGTTTCCCATTAAAAATCTTAATTTAAAAGAGAGATTTGTAAGGGGTGCACTTATATATGCTGAGCACTGTATTTATTGAGCAGCAAATCAACTTATTAGAACAATAATAAAGGTTCATGGAGGAAATTATTGTAAAAGAATCTCAATAAATATAATTTGAACATTTTTATTTAATTTCTCTAACCGAATACTGTTAAACTCCCCAGAAAACCTCATTAAAGCACTATTTATTTCATTTTTCTTTACTCTATTGTTTTTATCTATGCTTGTAATTTGTTTTATGCATGATTCACCCTGCTAGTTATCTCAATCTATCTAAATTAATGAATTCTTATCTAAATAGACCTATTCATGTCATATATTCATATATAATGCTAAAATATTGCAGTCAGATTTTTTAATATCATGCAGCCCTACTTTGCATACATTATATCAGGGGTCAATTTAGCTCCAACTTGCCTCAACAACCGTGCCTGGATGTTTTAAGTATACCTAGTAAGACCTTGATTAGCAGGTGTGTTTGATTAGGGCTGGAGCTAAAATCTGCAGAACACCGGCCCTCCATGTACAATTTTGGTCACCACTGCATTATGAAGTATATTACAATAGGAGATCATTTTCATCAGAACTGTGTATTAGTGCTGTCATATGATTAATTTTAAAATAAAAGTTCATATTTTTAAAATATATTTCCAAGTACTGTGTATAAATATACGCAGCTGCAACCCAGTACTGGGAAACACCCATACACACTCATACACTATGGCCAGTTTACTTAATCAATTCCCTTATAGTGCATGTGTTTGGACTGTGGGGGAAACCGGAGCTCCCGGAGGAAACACACACCAACATGGGGAGAACATGCAAACTCCATGCAGAAATGCTAATTAAACCAGCTGGGACTCGAACCAGTGACCTTCGTCCATATTTATACAACCCAAGCTCATTCTGGAAACGTAGCCCCGCGGACGTTTCTGGAGACCGCGATTTACGTGGCTGGAGGTACGTAAAGGCCGCGTTTGGTTTTTTTCGAGCGAACGCCGCCCGACGGCTCGCCTCCGAGTGGAGGGCTTTCCCGACGCAACCAGTTTGTCCGCCTAGCTCACAGCGTTGCGTCGGCGGAGCGGAGGCCCCGGAGGAGGAGGAGGAGCCGGAGCCAGCCGCGGTGGACGACGACAGGGATCGAGTCCGGGGAACGGCGGGTTCCGGAAATCAGGTAAGACGACAAACGGAATCCAGAAAATAAGGGCGAGAACGCGGCGGGATCCGAAAACGCGGTCGAAATCGAAGACGGGGGCTTTTGCTTTTTTTTTTTTTTTTTTTTTTTTTTTTGATCCGGCGGCTATTCGCGCGAGAACGGCGCGGGCGCAAACGCCCGCCCGAGACGCGAAAAAGCGCACACAGCGGCCTCTCGCGGATCCGCGAAAACAAAAAACCGCTCGAATACGTACCTCCCGGGACGTAAATCGCGGTCCGCAGAAACGTCCGCGGGGCTACGTTTCCACAATGAGCCCGGGTTGTATTTATACATATACACATTAAAAATTTCGCTTGAATGTGATTAATCACGAATAATCATTTGATAGCATTACTGTGCACTAATACTTCACAATATTACAGTTTTACTGAATGTTCTAATAAATTAATGCAGTCTTTACCAGACTACATTAATAAAATGACTCGTATAAAGTGTAAACATGTGGATATTTCTGCTCATAAACACATTTTGCTCCTCTGCTCAGTTCTAATAGAGTCAGAAGCTGAGCAGAACTCTCACCACAGTCACCTGCTGGATATAAAAAGCTCTTCTATGAGAGTCTGACAGCACATCGGTGTTGATTTATGACTGTCACAAGGTGATAATAAGGAGAATTTCATGACTGAAAGCAGCAGTCCGTCCTCACACACACATAGTCACATGACACTGCAGACGGATGCTGCTTCACATTGAAGATTGCGCCTGTAATAATTGCCTCTTCATGCTAAGCTGCTGCAGTCGCTTCATGCATTAGTGTACGTTACAGCAGAGCGCCATGTTCAGTCGTCTCTTCAAAGCTGTTTCTATCTATGGAAAGTGCCGAGGCCTGTTTGCAAACACATTAGCGTGCGTCAGTACACTGGACTGCAGGACATTCATTATTGAGGCTCTGACAGGACAGGCTGTGTTTGAGGTGGAAGATGGTGGTCATGTGATTATGACAAGTTAAACTGGGCCAAGCATGTTTGCGCCTTCTCAGATTTCAGGGAACTTCATACTTTCTTTGATGTTGTTATATATTTATTGTTATAGCGATGGTTTACAACTAATAAAGTACAAATTCATGCAGCTTTACAATGTGAAGCAGCTTGATTTTTGATTTTAATTAATGCTATATTCCAACCCAGGCTCATTTTAATTACGTACCCCTATATACATTTCTGGAGAACACCGAATATGTCTCAGGAGCTACGTTTTTTTGCAGTTTTTGTTTTCACGAATCCACCAGAGGCCGCCATGTACGCTTTTTCACATCTCAAATTTCTCTCGTGAGTGCCATTCGCACCTGTTGTTCTCACGTAAATCCACCAGAGGTCACTGTTGACTGACTGACTGACCGACCAATCAACTGACCCACCCTCTTCCCTGCCTAAACCCAACCGATAGTGTTTTAAAAAGCACCAATTGACCCGTTTACCCATAAACCCAACCAATAGTGTTTTTTGAAAAGCAATCCAGAAAAAGAAAAGCCCTCGGCTGATTTTTACCACATTCTCACTCACTCAATATTTACTTGTTTATTTTATTTTTTGGCTTCTCTTTTTGTTTTACCTGCATTCTGGAATCATTCTTCACCGCACTTGAACCCTGTCATTGTGGTCAACTCCTCTCTATGTCTCAAATCTCCCGATGTACATGTCGAGCTACCAGACAAACTGGTAACAGCAGGAAAGACTTCCATATAGAGGTAAGCGGTCAGCTGTTTGCGTGGAAAGGAACAGCGTCATACCACCCCGTAGTGTTCATTTTAAAGACGAAATGCAGCCATATGTTCTTCTGGCTACATAATTCGTGCTCTCCAGAAACGTATATAGGGTTACGTTTTTCAGAATGAGCTTGTGTTGCTCTATTTTGCATTGTTATTATAAATTTTAGATGATAAATTTTAGATGTCAACTTTTAAATCTTGTCTTAAGACACATCGCTCATATATATATAATTATTATTTATTAAGTCTTTATTAATTATTTTATTAATTATTAGTATTAATTATAATGGTTTTGTTTAAATGTGTATTTTGTAAGATGACCTTGGGTGTCTAGAAAGGCGCCAATAAATTTTTTTTTATTATTATTACTTATAGAATTGTTTTATTACTAAAAGTTCAAATATGTGTGAATATGTGTTGCATTGTCAATTAAACATTACAGATATTAATGTCACAATTAAACCACATATTATGATTATAGTGCTTATTAAAACATAAATGTGTGTGTGTAACTTAATTCCTGTTACTAAATACAATATATATATATATATATATATATACATATATATATAGTGTATTTAGTAACAGGAATTAAGTATGAACAATAGTTGTACACTATTTATTACTCACAGTTCAACGTTAACCAATGCATTATTAAAATCTAAACGTATGCTTGTTGACATTAGTTAATGCACTGTTAATTAACATGAACTAACAACTGTATTTTCATTAACTAACATAATTAATACTGTACTAAATGTATTATTTATAGTGTTCATAATAGTAAAGGCATGAACTAATACCTTATTGCAAAGTTGTTACTGAATGTCTTGCTAGTTAAGCTACTGTTAGACTGAATATGAACATTTAAAGGGAGTCTCTTGTAAATCATTGTAAAACATTATTGTTTGCACAGACAAATACAATTTAATGTATGAACTAAAATCAGTGTTCGCTAGCAAAAGTGTTGTGCATATATTTGACATACAGCCCGGCTCTAGACATGCTACGGCACATTTCTACATAGTTTCCATTCGTGTGTATAGTCGCCTGTATTTTCGTACAGACGGTCTCAGATGTTGGAGTCAGTAAATGTGTGTGTGTTTCTCTGTGTGTGTGTGTGTGTGTGTGGCTCTGAATGCCCTCTTGAACCGGTCATCAGCTGTTTCCTGCTGTTTAACAATCCTCCATCACCGCAGACAGACCTGCATTACATAACCCTGATTTCTAGCCGGCTGACAGCGCTCAAAAAATCATGTTGGCTGCTTGTTCAAACTACTCATTTAATTTGAGCTGAAACAACACATTTCTTAAGGTATAATAAAACAAACCATGCAGCTTGGATGGATTATGTGTGCTGATCTGACCTGTCGCGCTGCTCTTCTGGCCTCCCAGTATGGTTTTGATTCTTCCACAGCTTTGCCGATCTTCTTCACCTGCTCGTCCAGCTTGACCGTTGCCTCCACCAGCACAGCACGAAACTTCTGCCGGGAGTCCTGAACAACCAGAAGCATATTTTGGAGTTGGTAAATATAAAAATCTATCCTCAAAACCACCAGTAAATGATTCAGTGATTAAATTAATCTGCTCCATTAATCATTCACAATCCTGAATATACAGTTGAAGTCAGAATTAGTTTAACGGAGAGATTTTTTCAACACAATAGTTTCATTAACTCATTTCTAATAACTGATTTATTTTATCTTTGCCATGATGACAGTAAATAATAGACTTAAAGACACTTCTATACAGCTTAAAGTGACATTTAAAGGCTTAACTAGGTTAATTAGGTTAACTAGGCAGGTTAGGGTAATTAGGCAAGTCATTGTATAGCGATGGTTTGTTCAGTAGACTATCGAAAACAAATATAGCTTAAAGAGGCTAATAATATTGACCTTTAAAAAATTTTAAAATGCTTTTATTCTAGCCGAAATAAAACAAATAAGACTTTCTCACGAAGAAAAAATGTTATCAGACATACTGTGAAGATGTCCTTGCTCTGTTAAACATTCATTCATTCATTTTCTTGTCGGCTTAGTCTCTTTATTAATCCGGCGTCGCCACAGTGGAATGAACCGCCAACTTATCCAGCAAGTTTTTACACAGCGGATGCCCTTCCAGCTGCAACCCATCTCTGGGAAACATCCACACACATTCACATACACACACACTCATACACTACGGACAATTTAGCCTATCCAATTCACCTGTACCGCATGTCTGTGGACTGTGGGGGAAACCAGAGCACCTGGAGGAAACCCACGCGAAGGTAGGGAGGACATGCAAACTCCACACAGAAACGCCAACTGAGCCGAGGTTTGAACCAGTGACCTTCTTGCTGTGAGGCGACAGCACTACCTACTGCGCCACTGCCTCGCCTCTGTTAAACATCATTTGGGAAATATTAAAAAAAAAAATTCAAAGGGGTCTAATAATTCTGACTTCAGCTGTAAATGTAAAGTGCATTTTTTGTCTGGAGTAAGCATCATTGAGCCATGCTCTCTGAGGTCAATCATAGTATTCAGATGCATTATGGATAATAAATTCAGCTGCATGCAGTATTACATAAAAGCCACCGACAGCTGAGTTGTCTTGTCTTTGTGTTGCAAAGTGGTCAGGAGCGAGTTACTGTACATTGAGTCTGACTGAATCCCAGTGCACTGATAGGCTCATCATATCCAGGCAGCATGAACTGTACGCTCAGGAATCTCAGAATTATGTGCGTCCATCTTTCAGTTTCACAGCAATGAAACGCTTTGATAATCCGCCCTTTGTTGCTCTCTGAAAAGCGCTGCTTCAGCTAACTCAATTCAGCCTTTAACAGAGTTAAGAAAGAATCTGCAAGCCGCTTTCTAGACACAAACTCCTCCTCAGCACAAGCAAAGAGTGGTGTTTATTGCATTAAAGGAGTTTGATTCACGTGTCTATCGGGTTCAGTCGGTGATGAATCTGTTGTCGGGTGGGTTTGGTTGTTCTGATGATAAATATAAAAACACTGACATCTACATCCTTCCACACAGGACCTCAGTGAGAACATGCACGCCACAGGGATTTAGACTTCCTCTGACAGACTGACACTTCCTGGTTCAGTCCTGACCATCACATACAGTGTAATGTGGGTGAGCATTCCTAATATTTCTTAATAAATAATAATAAGTGAGGAGGGAGAAATAGCCATGAATCTGATATTAGGCTTTGAAGATGACCTATTATGTCCCTATTTACAAGATGTAAAATAAGTATCAGATGTCCCTAGAGTGTTCCAGCTCAAAATCCTTGCTCTGTTAAACATCATTTGTGAAATATGAAAGGGGGGCTAATATTTCTGACTTCAACTGTGTGTATGTATATATATATATATATAATTTTTTTTTTTTTTTTTTTAAGGGCGTAACGATACGCATATTTGTATTGAACCGTTCGGTACGAGACTTTCGGTTCGGTACACATTACAAACCGAACGATTCAATTCAGACTAACATCTAAAATCCATGTTAAACAGTAGACCATCGCTTTTGAACTCAGAATATCACTTTATTAAAGCATGCACCCATTAGCAATCTTGCTAGCTTCTGTGTCAGCCTGGCTGCTCGTGCTGGCTTTGCCCCTGTTGCCCCAGTAACCCTGGACCCCCGACACAAAAGAGCCAACCTCCAAACACTACTCCAGGCACTCGCTACGCTAGCTCGCAAAATGACGAGTAACGTTAATGTAATCCCAGACATCCCAAGTCTCCCGGAAGCTTTGGGAGACTCCTGGATGCCCGCACACGAAGGATAATCTTCACGAAATTGTGCATCTCATCGCGACTCATCCTTCTGAAAATAAAAAAATACTTCAAAATTAATTGAAACTGAGTTCCATATGCAATCTAAATTGTTATTTTCTTTTTATTTGTTGAACTGCTACAATATTATATTTATTTTTTGTAAGTGGCTTTTTGGTTTTGAGTATAAAGAAGGATTTGTTTTATTTGCTGCTAAGCAAAAACCCCGGAAGTAAAGCTCTAATACTGTTTAAAGTAAAAGAAAAAAAACAGGCTCATAGTTTTTATGATGTTAGTTTTAATACATTGAAAAATTTAATCGAGAGAAACAATCTGGCTTTTTTCTTTTTTTGCTGTATCGAAAACGTTCCGAACCGTGACACCACTGTATCAAATCGAACATTTTTGTGAACAGTAACACCCCTAATATATATATATACACACACATACATACATACATACATATAATATATATATATATATATATATATATATATATATATATATATATATATATATATATATATATAGGGCTTAGTCCCTTTATTAATCCGGGGTCGCCACAGAAGAATGAACCACCAACTTATCCAGCATGTTTTTATGAAGCGGATGCCCTTCCAGCCGCAACCCATCTCTGGGAAACATATGTATATATATGACTATTTTTCAGCGTGAGTTTTAGTTTTGTTTTATTTCAAAAAACATTTAATGTTAGAACAATAACCCTGATATAAGGCATATATTACTACACAGGCGTCAACAATAAAATAATATTTCTCTTCTTTTATTTTGGTCATGGTATTACTATTAAATTATATTGAAATACTTTGGGATACCATGCTGTAATCAGTTACCACAGAACTACATATTTTTGTAAGGATGCATATGCAAAATCTTTTAAAGGATATTATAAATTAGCTGAAACAAATCAAGGAAATGGACATTTCTTGTGCCAGTATAACCACTGGCAATTTACTCCTTGTTTGTATTCCAGTGAAGACGCAGAGTCTCCAGGGATTGGAATGACAAGCATTTTCCTAAACGACTTCTTAAGCAGTTGTGGCTTTCAGGGCAGGAATTCCAGATTTCCCCTGTTTGCTCTACAGATATAGACCTGTCAGTCACATACAGGGAACTTCCTATTGGTAGGTGGTGGAATGGAGGGCGGAGCTGAGCTCTTAGACTGGTTCCACTGTGAAATTCCGCCTGCAAACATTTTCAGCAGAAACAAGCAAGAGCTCAAAGCAAGCCTGTGGAAAGCTCACCTCCAGTTCTGTCTCCCATTGGTTGATGTTATCCGTGGACTGGTTCAGTTTCTCCAGCTCTCCCTGTGCAGAGATAAAGCAGTGGAGATTGCAGTTAGATGTCAGTGGAACAACATCTGGAAAGTGTTATTGATGTAACCCAATGCTAAAGTGAAGCTGAAATGCGCGCTGATGTTAGCTTCACGCTGATGACACACAGATGTTGTTTTCATTTGCAGATCATGCGTTTGTTTTCCTACATGGGTGGAGGATGAAAAACCAGTTCAACTAGCACAGTCTTCAGCACAAGGCTCTTTGCAGTGCTCTCGTATCAAGAGAAATGCCTTCTTTTATTGTAAAGGACGTTCTTCACGTGCACTTTTAAAGCAAAAGATGTTACAAAAAGATCTTTTGAATGATAAAACAAGCACTCAAGAAGAAGAAGATAAAGTATCAGGACAGACTTTAAGCTCTTAATTCTATATGAGAACTAAAAGAGTTTTCACAGTGATGCCATACAGTAGAACCATTATCATTCATTCATTTTCCTTCGGCTTAGTCCCTTTAGTCATCAGGGGTCGCCACAGCGGAATGAACCGCCAACTATTCCAGCATATGCTTTAAACAGCGAATGCCCTTCCAGCCGCAACCCAGTACTGGGAAATATCCATACACACTCATACACTACGGCCAGTTTACTTCATTCAATTCCCCTAAAGCGCATGTGTTTGGACTGTGGGGGAAACCGGAGCACCAACATGGGGAGAACATGCAAACTCCACACAGAAATGGCAGCGGTCCCAGCCGAGGTTCGAACCAGCGACCTTCTTGCTGTGAGGCGGCAGCACTACCTACTGTGCCACCGCATCGCCTATTATGTTTTATTTTTTTTATTATTCAAATGGACAAATTGTGACTGAGGAAAGTTGAATGTGCTGGCCAGTTTGTTATTCATCTTATAAATGACACAATAAGCTACAGTTTTCAATTTAAAACTTTTTTGTAAAGATATATGATTAATATTTGTCATTTTTTTTTTATTCTAATGATATAAGAAATATGTTTGATACAGCAAAAAGTGTAGTTATGACCCTAACCCTAACCTGACAAGCTAATTCAGCTAAAATGTGTGCTTAATGTCACCTAAATGCAGTATTTAAACCTCATGATTAAATAGAAAATGAGGTGAATAACTGCAAAAAGGTCCACTTATTGAGAAAAAAAACACCATTTTCACCAGGCTAGCTACGGCCCTGTGTAGTTTATTTTGAATAATCAGTTTGAAATGGCATTATGATCCGACAGATCGCACTATTATGTTTTTCGTTTTCTTTTTCATTCTTTTATAACCTATTTTAACTCATTTTAATTTGTTTTTATATGTTTTTAATAATTTTTATTGTCTGCATTTTATGTTCCTAAACTTGTCTTTTTTATTCCTGTTTATGTAAAGCACTTTGAATTGCCACTGTGTATGAAATGTGCTATATAAATAAACTTGCCTTGCCTTGCCTATTATGACTTTAAGACAACATTACTATTTTATTAACTGATTAGTCCTAAACTGCTAACATGATTTCTCTATATAGAATTCGTAAATAATACTTTTATGAAATGATTTTAAGAAGTAAAAGTCTGAATGTGCGAGTATAAGACCAACTTGCCCTTCAGAAACGACACTGAATCCTGCATGCAGTGCACGTGAGATCAATTGTTTCTTTACCAGAGGAAACTGAGTTCTAAATATGACGTCAAAGTAAACATGTATCAGATTGTCAATGCAACAATGAAACAATGTAACATAAAATAAGAGATGATGTAACGATTTGGGGTTCCCCTCATCAAATCAAACACCAGCTGGTTTTTATGACAATCTGAACAAGCATAGGGCTGGAATCGTATATTACACGACAAAATATGCTCGAGTTTTGCAGCTATACGTTTAAAAGCCCGTGCAATTTAACTTCAGTTCAGGTTTTGTCAAGGTTAAATAAGAATAAGTTAGACAATTCCACATATTTACTATGATAGAGCCTGTAGGAATCCCCTCAGCTTTCGTTTTAATCCGCTTTAAGCCTTTTTGTCGTTGTGAATTCTCGCATTGATTTCCATCTCATACCTGAATCCTCGGGTCGACCTCTTCTTCCTCCAGAGACTCCGAGTCTTCATCAGATTTGTTCTCTTTCTCCGGCTCGTTCATTTTGCTTGTAGACGTGATTGTTTTTCTTTACCGGCTGAACAAAGCGTGTCTCTGTCCGGGATAACGGGTTCCAGATCCGCGCATCTGCGGTCACTCCATTAGACAGCCAGAAAACGCGATTAAAAGAGACTAAATCGATCCCTCACATTAGATATGAAAGATATCGTGCTTATACCAACACACACACACCCGTAGAAAACACCGGCAGAAGGAGAATGAGATCTGCCGAGATCCTGCCCGCCTCCTCCGGCACAAACACCCGCTGCTGTGCTCAAGAGGAGGGTCACTACAGTTCACACACACACACACACGCACACAGAGAGAGAGAAACACGGGAAATAACTGCTTTATCTGCGTTTTTTAGTTAGTATTAGTGTAAAAATGTAACAAAAAATATTGCAATACATACTTGAATGATGCTTTAATTTATTTTAATAGGCTAATCAAGTTTCAACTATTTTACTCAAAGTTTAACTTATTATTTGTTGTCAGTTGGTGTAAGTTGAGATGACTAGAAAAGTTAATTTGCCCGCACACTCAATTTTTTTATTTGTATTTTTTATTTTTGCATGTTCAGACTTCATATTTAAAACAAGCTAAACGCAATTTTGGCGATTTTTGCGAGAAACTTAATTTTTTTTTAAAGTTTAGTCCACTTTTGTAACAATAACTTAACTGATTTATGTTGAGACAGCATGAATAGCCGTAACAAAAATCGGATTATCCATATTTCAACCTTATGTTGGTTAAAACAATTTAGAATTACTTAGAGTTTAAGCAAAATGTAAATTCCCGAATGTTCTAATAAACGTCTGTAAAAGTGTTTCCACTGCTTTGAGAAACATTGGGAAATGGCGCTCTCTGGTGGAGAACATTCGACATCATGCATGTGCAGCTCCTTGTAGACGAATAATCCCATCAACAACAAAAATCAACCTGCGATATTTGAATAATTTCATGATTATGTTTTGAGGTCAGTAATGTAATTAGACTGAATTCATAAATTATTGATTGTATATATTATAATTAAAATGGTTTAACATATATTTTTAGATATTATCTGTTAACTGTTTTACATATATACACTAAAAAACAATGAGTTATTTATTTTACCCAATGGTTGGGTTAAATATTTGGTGCTTTGTTGGGTTATTTTTAACCTTTATTAGTTTATATATTAATTACTCAACCAGTTGGGTTAAATATTTGGTGCTTTGTTGGGTTATTTTTAACCTTTATTTGGTTATTTATTTAATAACTCAACCAGTTGGGTTAAATATTTGAGTTTCAACAGTGAACCGATGTAACTGACACAAAACAGCTGTATTAATATGTGTGCGTAATGTTGTTTTTTCTTTATAAAGTTCATTTAAGCTGTAACTCAATAATGTTTTTTTTTTAATCAAATTACCTCTTCGTGTCGTGTTTTTTTTTTTTATCCGTTTCACCAAGACCATCTTTTATAAGTGTTTGTTTGTGGTTAAAATGTATTGTACATTGTGGACACTGAGTAAAGCCTGCTGCAGCTGCTGGACAGCCTCTACAGCACACAGAGCTCCATATTCTGCTCCATCAACACAGGATTTTCTGCCTGCACAGTTTATATCTGTCTTCTTTGTTCTGTTTCTTCATTGTTTGTGATTCCTAATTATTTTAACAAAAGTTTCTGGAACTAAAAGTAAATAAAGCGTTTTCAAATTTTTTTTAAAAGTATGTTATTTATTTACACAGCCATAATTATTAAACTAATAGTAGTACTAACAACAGTAATACCAGAATGGAAAACAATAACATTTAATCAAAATAACCCATTGCATTGAATTAAATTATGCAACCCAATGCACTGGGTTAAAATAACCCATAATTGGTAAGGTGCTATAATAACCTATGGATTATATGGTATTTTGACCCAACTATTTTAACACAGTATATATATACATATTTGTTTGGCGACGCAGTAGGTAGTGCTGTCGCCTCACAGCAAGAAGGTCACTGGTTCGAGCCTTGGCTGGGTGAGTTGGCCTGTTTATTATATTGATATATAGAATACTTAAAGGGAAAGTAAATTAGAATAAGGTAATGATGTTACCGGGTAATTTTAGGACACAACAGCCTTATATTTGCTGAGCCATAGAGTGTCTCAGAATAGTTCACAACTCTCTAACATATGCCTTAAAGCAGCTTCTTATTGGAGAATTAATGTGGTATGTGGCACAGAGATGTAATTCATTGATTAGATGAAGCACTTTCTCGATATTATTGTCTGGTTTTGGAATTGCTGGATGTAAGAACAGTGTTCAAGTGGAATTTAAGGTTCTATCAGATAAACAGGATACAGCTGCGGCCGGAAGTTATACAATAATTATGTATATAATTTATTAAATTATTCATAATTGTATTTTAATATCGCCTACCCCTACTCTCACAGTAATGTAAAAATATTAATCATTGTTGTACAGTGTGTCACAAAAGTCAAATCATCTTATATTGACGTGAGTGTCCACAGCTGTATCCCTCTATACTTTACTCTAGAATGGATACAGCTGCGTAGCTATACTCACATCAGTATCGCATAATTCTTGTGACACACTGTACAACAATAATTAATATTTTATTGTACTGTAATGGGTATATGTTAAGGGTTTGGTAGGGGTAGACGTTAATTAAATTCAATTTAATGAATAATTTAATAAATAATATAACTCATTCTCGTTAAAATCGCTGTTTTACATTACTGTTAGGGTTGGGGGTATATGGGTAGACGTTAATAAAATACATTTATCATTTATATACTATAAATAATTCTTGTTAACTGCTGTATCCCTTCTAGCGACCCTTTTTCAGTAATGGTGAACACGATGACGAGGCGCGCATGTGTTGTCATGTGACGTCATCGCGCCAGAGGACAGGCGTTGTTCTCTCTCTCCGCACCGGGTCCGGTATTGCAGGTCCAGTTCAGGGGAAAAAACTCGAGTCCAGGCCGCGATGAGCCACTGAGAGCCGCGAAAAAAACACAAATAATCGGCCGAGCATCATGACGGCGCCGCGCTAGAGCCCCGCATCCTCAGCATCAGCAGCAGCAGCATCATCATCTCAGGTGCGCAGGATGGAGTTCAAAGAGCTGGTGGACGCCGCCGAGAAATGGTGCACCGGGAACCCGTTCGACCTGATTTTCGCCGAGGATGTGGACGAGAGGCGGCTGGACTTCTACGCCGAGCCCGGGATCTCGTTCTACGTGCTCTGCCCGGACAATCTCACCGGAGGAACCGACAATTTTGTAAGTATGACATAATCGAGGGAGATTTTCAAGAGGGGTGGGGAGGAAGGGGGTGCTGTGCGCGTGCACGAATGCTGTTGTCATCTAAAAAAGGCTCTTAATTACGGTTAAGTCTAGAAGGGATACAGCTGCGGATACTCACATATAGCATAATGTTTGAGACACTGTACAATAATAATGGATGTTTTTCATTAGTGTGAGGCTTTGGGTAGGGGTATATTAGTGAAATACAATTTAATAAATAATATGAATAATACACAGTGTAATTAGTGCCCAGGAAACAATTTAGTGTTTAATAGACGTCTATTAGACATCTGATATTAGTCTAAAACTAGACTAGTCGTCAAATAGACAGATTAGACAGACTTTATATTGTAGTCATTCATTTCTGTTTATGTGAAGAGTAGTTTGTCCCATTCTTAGATCTCTAGATTTTCATTGACAGTCCAAAATTAGCCTTGCTTTAGCCTAGACGACCATATTTAGACATCTATTAGACATCTTTTAAAAACAAAAAATGCTTGATGGATGTTTTTTTATCACTGTGAGGGTTGAGGTAGGGGTAGATGCTAATGAACTACAATTTAATGGGTAATTTAATAAGTAATATGAATAATACTCTGTGTAATTACTGCCCAGCAAACAATTTTGTGTTTAATAGACGTCTAATAGACATCTAAGAATAGCCTAAAATTAGTCGTCAAATAGACAGATAAGACAGACTTTATATGTGTAGCCATTCATTTTGTTTATGTGACGACGAGTTTTGGCCTATTCTTAGATGTCTAGATTTTCACTCACAGCCCAAATTTAGCCGTGTTTTAGCCACGACGACTATGTTTAGACGTCTATTAGACATCTATCAGACATCTTTTAAAAACAAAAAATGCTTGCTGGGTGTTTTTCATTACTGTGAGGGTTGAGTTAGGGGCAGATGTTAAAGAAATATAATTTAATGGGTAATTTAATCAATAATATATACATTACTCTGTGTAATTAATGCCCAGCAAACAATTTAGTGTTTAATAGACATCTAAAAGACATCTATATGTAGACAGCTTGGCTAAATAAAGGGTAAATTTGGGCTGTCAGTGAAAATCTAATATACGTCTAACAATAGCCCAAAGCTAGTCGTCAAATAGACAGATTAGACAGACTTTGTATGTGTAGTTATTAATTTCTGTTAATTTGATGTCTAGTTTTGGCCTATTCTTGGATGTCTATTAATTTTTACTGACAGCCCAAATTTAGCCTTAATTGTTTTAGCCTAGATGACTATATTTAGACATCTATTAGACATCTAAAAAAACAAAAAATGCTTGCTGGGTGTTTTTCATTACTGTGAGGGTTGAGGTAGGGGTAGATGTTAATGAAATACAATTTAATAATTCATTTAATAAATAATCTGAATAATACTCTGTGTAATTACTGCCCAGCAAACAATTGTCTGTTTAATAGACGTCTGATAGACATCTAAGAATAGCCTAAAACTAGTCGTCAAATAGACAGATAAGACAGACTTTATATGTGTAGTTATTCATTTCTGTTTATTTGATGACTAGTCTTTTGGGCTATTCTTAGACACCTATTAGATTTTCAATGACAGCCCAAATTTATCCTAGCTTTAGCCAAGACGATTATATTTAGACATCTATTAGACATCTTTTAAAAACAAAAAATGCTTGCTGGTTGTTTTCATTACTGTGAGGGTTGAGGTAAGGGTAGCTGAAATGAAATACAATGTAATGGGTAATGTAATAAATAATATGGATAATACTCTATGTAATTACTGTTTTTTACATTACTTTGAGGGTTGGGATAAGGATAAAACACAATTAATGGGTCATTTAATTAATAGCCTAATATAAATACTTCTCTTTAACTTCCGACTTTAGCTGTATCTCTTCTAGCAACAAAGTACCATGATTTCCAGACTCTGATATGAATATTAAAATGTTCAATGCTACAATGCTAATCATTGTTTTATGCTACATGTTGAATATGTTGTGCATGTTTTAAGCCTTTTATCTCAAAGCAGACAAAATGATGTCTATTTTATATAGCCTATTTGTTTTGGTAACACTTTACAGTAAGGTTAATGTTGCTTAATGAATATACTAACATGAGCAGTAGACAAGTCGTTCATTGTTAGCTCTTTTTACCTTTACCTTACTAAATTAGCATTAATGTTTAATAAATGCAGTTTTTTATTCTTAGTTCATGTTTGTAAATCCGTTATAGCATTAAAGGGGTCCTATTGTGCTGAAATCACATTCATAAAGGGTGTAAACTCAGTTGTGTGGCAGCAGTATGTGAATATAACCAGCTTATAATGGTAAACATGTATTAATTATATTTTTTTATAATCAAACTTGATTAAAACACTTTGATTGACATTCTCCCTTTGTATGATGTCATCAGACGGGAAAAGCCCCGCCTACTAGGGACCATCTCTCCCTCATTAGCATAAACAGCCCTGAGTGAGAACCATCCCTCCGCTATTAGTGTTTTAAATCTGCCACGATGGTGACACATTTATAGCTCCGCCCTCATCTGAAAAGAGCTTAATCTCATTTGAATTTAAAGCGACAGTCATCAAAGCCCCACAATTTGGATTAAAGCCAATAAGGGGCTATTTTAAAGAGTTATAAAACATTATCTGTGTGTTATTTTGAGATGAAATTTCACATCTACGCTCCTTAGACATCTTATTTTACATATTTAAATGTTTTATGCTTCGATAGTAAAAATCTATGCATCTTTTACACTGATATTCTGCGTTTACACCCCCGTACATCTGTTTTAAGGATTAATAATGAATTATAATAGCTCATTGTAGTTCCTCACATCATCATGAGCTGGCCGTATCCCTGATGCTGAGTCCCAGAGCTCAGTGAAATATCCCCGCACGCACCGGCAGGACGAGGATCTAATTACTCAGACTGATCAATACCAGGTCCTGCGGATCACACAGCCCAGAGAGAGCCGGAGAGAGAAATGACTTCATTAATGGCTCAAAATACAGCAGAGCCAAATATCTGAGACCACGCTGATTACATCTAAAAATAAAATGAGTTTTCAAGGAAACATTATAATGGTGAAGTCTTGTGCAGGTCAATAAGGAAGCCAGCATTTTTAATTAGGTCCTCACTCCATTCAGCTCTTTTGAAGATTTCTGCGGTTGGCATTAAAAGCAGTGTGGTGTACGGTAAAACTTAAGTTTTCTATTTTTGGACTTTCGATTTTGGCATCCTTTCGCATAACACAACATGTTTGGTATTGCAACCCGTCTTTTCAGCCTGATCTCATGAAGAAACGTAAGTATTTTACGTTTGGTCAGTTTAATGGCTAATTTGTACGAATTCGTACGAGTTCAGTTGTACGAAAATGTACGATTTTTAAAAAGGAGGCGTGGCACCCAGCCCCACCACTAACCCCAACCATCATTGGGTGATGAGCAAATCATATGAATTCATACAAATTAGCCACTAAATCGAAAAGTTACGAATTGCCGTGAGATTGCGTTGGTCTTTTTTGTGCAACCAGAATTCGCAGTTGAACCCGTGTGACGTCATGTGTGACGTAGGTTGGTAATTCGCCTATAAAACAGTCAGAAATGGAAAATTTGATTGCTATGATTAGAATACTATATGTAAACTTAACAATGTTGTATGACAGTTTTCTCCAACGCAATCTCAGGGCAATTCGTAACATTTTGATTTAGTGGATAATTCGTATGAATTCGTTCGATTTAATTCATACAATTTAGTACGATTTGTTCATCACCCAATTATGGTTGGGTTTAGGGGCGGGATTGGGTGCCAAGCCTCCTTTTTAAAATCGTACATTTTCGTGCGACTGAACTCGTACGAATTAGCCACTTAACTGACAAAACGTAATTTACTTACATTTTCTTGTGAGATCAGGCTGGATTTCTCACATTGATAGTAAAGTTTACAATTAAAGTCAACCTATTAAGCTCCTTTTAACAAGATCTAAAATAAGTCTCTAGATATCTGATATCTCTAGAGCGTGTGTGTGAAGTTTCAGCTCAAAATACCACACTAATAATGTCTGATAACTCTCTGAAACTGACTCTTGAGGCCTTTGATCCTAATTGTGGCGTTTTGGTGACTGTCGCTTTAAATTCAAATGAGGTTGTGCTCTTTTCAGAAGAGGGCGGAGCTACAAATGCACTATGTACTGTCATCAAGGCAGTCGAGTTATTCGAAATTCAGTATTAAACCTCTTATGCTTATGAATAGCGGCACGGTGGCTCTATGGTTATCACTGTGGCCTCACAGCAAGAGAGTCGCTGGTTCAAGTCCCGGCTGGACCAGTTGTTATTTCTGTGTTTGCATGTTCTCCCTGTGCTGGCGTGGGTTTCCTCCGGGTGCTCCGGTTTCCCCCACAGTCCAAACACATGTGCTATAGGGGAATTGATGAACTAAATTGGCCGTAGTGTATGAGTGTGTGTGTGTGAATGAGTGTGTATGGGTGTTTCCCAGTACTGGGTTGCCGCTGGAAGGGCATCCACTGCGTAAAACATATGCTGGAATAGTTGGTGGTTCATTCTGCTGTGGCGACCCCTGATAAATAATGGACTAAGCTAAAGGAAAATGAATGAATGAAGTTTATTGTGTAACAGATCTGATTTTACTAAATGGGATTTGTGGTCTGTTTTAGTCCGTTTGATTGTATTTCCTCATTAAACATTTTTCCTCCAGCGCACTTTGGGAGGAGAAGATTATTTGGGCCATCTACTGAGAAACGGTCCCGGCTCTCGCTCGGATAAATATAACAGGACAAAGAGTTTTAGTGTCCCAGATTCTCAGCTGGAAGCTTCACTTTGACTTCAGAGGATTCCTTTTAACTGTATATGTGTTCACTTCATCAATCCAGAAATAAAAGATCCAGGAGGAGGGGTTAAAATATTTTTACACACGCATGTTTGCGGTCCAATTATAGTATCTGAGGGAGATTGTTGCTGACATTGTTAACCACTGAGCCACCATGCCGCCCTGCATTATATTTCTTGAAATAACATCATAATTATAATGTTTGTGTGTGTTCAGCATGTGTGGAGTGAGAGCGAGGACTGTCTGCCGTTCCTGCAGCTGGCGCAGGACTACATCTCCTCCTGCGGGAAGAAAACACTGCTGGAGGTGCTGGATAAAGTCTTCAGATCCTTCAGGCCTGTGAGTCTCACACACACACACACACACACACAAACACACACACACACACACACGCGCACACATTGAGATACAATATTTCATTTACCAGGGAGTCCTGGTCAAGACAGGCAGCCTAAGGACAGAGTTAAACACACACAAAAATAAAATAAACCATAAGCAATTATTAAAATGTGCACTGTCTTTAAAATATTTTTGAATATACCGATAAATGGTTCAAATTCCATATGTAGCATATCTTGAACATCATTCCATACAAATGGAGCATACTTAGAGGATGCAGATCGGCCTAACTCTGTATAAAAGTATGGCATCTTAAGTAAGAGTCTATCTGCTGATCTTATCAGCTATTATAAGTTCTATTCTATTCTATTCTATTCTATTCTATTCTATTCTATTCTATTCTGTTCTGTTCTGTTCTGTTCTATTCTATGCTGTTTAATTAAATTCCATTTTATTCTATTGTATTTCATTCTATTGGATTTCCAGTCTATTTTATTCTATTTTGTTCAATTCAATTCCATTCTATTGTATTTTATTTTATTCCATTCTGTTCCGTTCAATTCAGTTCCATTGTATTCTATAGTATTTCATTCTTTTCCAGTCTATTCAATTCTATTTTATTCCATTCAATTCCATTCCCTTCCATACTATTGTATTGTATTGTATTGTATTGTATTGTATTGTATTGTATTGTATTGTATTGTATTGTATTGTATTCCATTCTATTTTATTCCATTCCGTTCAATTCAACTCCATTTTATGCTGTTTTATTTCATTCTATTACATTTCCAGTCTATTTTATTCTATTTCATTCAATTCAATTTCATTCTATTGTATTGTATTCTATTCCATTCCGTTCAATTAAATTCCATTGTATTCGATTCTTTTCCAGTCTATTCAATTTAATTCTATTTCATTCAATTCCATTCTATTGTATTCTATTGTATTGTATTTTATTGTATTTTATTTTATTCTGTTCCATTTAATTCAGTTCCATTTTATTATATCGTATTCCATTTGTTTCCAGTCTATTCAATTCTATTCTATTCTATTCCATTCCATTCCATTCCATACTATTGTATTGTAGTGTGTTCTATTTTATTCCATTCCGTTCAATTCGATTCTATTTTATTCTATTGTATTCCATTTTTCTGCTGTCTATTCAAATCCATTGCTTTCTATTCTATTCTTTTCTATTCCATTCTATTCTACTCTATTCTGCTCTGGTCCTTTCTATTCTATTCCATTCCATTCAATTTTATTACATTCTTTTCCATTCAATACTATTCCATTTCCTTCTATTTAATTAAATTCCATTTTACTCTGTTGTATTCAATTCTTTTCCATTCCTGTTCATTTTACTCTATTCTATTCTATTCCGTCCAATTCCATTTTATTCTATTCTATTGACCTTATTCTTCACATATGAGCGCAGCCATTGTGATGTTTTTGGTCCAAGATTTTCACTCTCATTCACTTCCTAAGATTTTTAGACGTTAAAAGCAGCTTGTTAAGCTGCTTAAAGTTGATACTGATACTTTTGCATTATATTATTCTAGTTTTATGTAAAGTCATGAACACGCTTATTTGTAGAGCGAGTAGTCTGACTGTTTTCTGCCATTTATTATTCCTATTGAGTCAGCTGAATCGGAAGTTCTAAAACATTTGCCAAAAACGAGCATACTTGGCATCTCATCGCATTGATTATGAAACAATAACATTTAAACTACTGATTTTTCCCTGCAGCTCCTGGGTCTTCCAGATATCGACGATGACACGTTCGATCAGTATCATGCAGATGTAGAGGAGGAACCAGAGCCAGACCACCAGCAGATGGGTGTGAGCCAGCAATAATGCCCAGCAGAGAGGCTCCGCGCTGGGCCTCAGTCTCTGCATCAAGCCCTGCTTCTCTAACCCCATAAACCTGCCTCTTCTTCCTTAACACACATACACACACACATATACACACACACACACTGGATCCCTTTTGTGTGTCTCTCATACACTTGCACCATTACACACACCCTTTAATATCTGGACGGCTTTTCCCGATTTCAACCCCACTGATTATTTATTTAGATTTATTATTATTTAATGTCACGGTTATCGCAAAATTAGTTCGAATCACTTGACTGGAAGTGACATCATAAGGTAAATCGGACACACTGATATAGTGTTGTCATCTGATTACGTTGCATGTTTATTTCATAGTGTGTGGCGTGTCATCATCATCCTGACAATGGCTGAAGTTATGTGCTGTTATTGTCTAAACAGTCTGATCAAAATCTAAAAATAGCAGTCTGGTGTCAATCGGAATTATTCATTACAGTGTAATTTTGATGCATTGCATTGTGGGAGACGCTCCTAAGCAAAAAATAATGCACATTTCAGTAAATGCTGAATGTTGTTTGGTCATTTCTGTTAGATATTACAATGTTAACAGTACACACACTGCAAACTAACATGCTAACTAGCACTTGTGGAGGTGAATAATTAAGATGACGTGGATTTTACGTAATATGCACCAACGAATCGTTCTTAAATAATGTAGAAATTATTGTTAATTATTGTCCGTTGTGGATTTATTGCACCTGTTAGTGATCCTGGACCACTAAACCAGTCTGAAGTTGCACAGGTGTGTTAAAATTGCTCAAAATACATTGTACAATATTAAAAACGATGGCTCAGTTAAACCGTTAAATTCTTTATAAGTTATTTTAACGGGCGGCACGGTGGCTCAGGGGTTAGCACTGTGGCCTCACAGCAAGAAGGTCGCTGGTTTGAGTCTCGGCTGGGTCAGTTGGCGTTTCAGTGTGGAGTTTGCATGTTCTCTCCATGCTAGCGTGGGTTTCCTCCGGTTTCCCCCACTGTCCAAACACATGTGAGTGTGTATGGCATACCTGTCAACATTGGGATGTGAAAGTAAGGGATATGCCCACCATAATTTACTGATAATATCATACCAAAATATACTGATTTACTGCTATATTTTACAGTGCCTGTGCATCCAATAACAAAAATTGTCAACAAACAAACCAAACATCAATGTAAAGCAGCAATGCCCAAACTAGGGCCTGCGGGCCAAAGTTGGCCCATTATAACCTTAAATTTAGCCCGCCATCCCTTCTGAGAAGAGAGGAAGAATGATGGTTTAGAGCAGAGGTGTCAAACATTTCAGCTCAGGGGCCACATGGAAAATATTCCCAAATATTTCCCAAAATAAAATATTCCCAAGTGGGTCGAACCATTAAAATCATGATATACAGCTTAAAAACAACAACTTTAGATTGTTTATTTGTTTTAATACGACATAATTTAATGTTTAATATGACATAATCAACATAAAGCTGGAGCCTGAGGACAACACCATCTCACGGCAGTTCGTAACTTTAATTCTGATGAAGGTGTACGATCATATTCATATAATTTAGCAGGATTTGCTCATCCCCTAATGACGGTTGATTTTAGGGGGTTTTATATCGTACATTTTCTTACGATTGACGTCATACAAATTAGCTACGAGTTTGACAAAACGTAAAATAGTTACGTTTCCTTGTGAGAACACCTCAGTGTGGTATGGCAGGGCATAGATGTGGTCTTTCTGTCTGAGAAGGCTGTCAGACCGATGATGATTCAGGCTTCTGGATTGGACGAAATTGACAGTTTGCAATTGCTATTGCGCATCCAGTGGACACAATTGGAACAGCAGTTTCTTTTATTTACGTATTTGTTAATATTGCAGCTTATTTGTATACTTTACAGAATCATCTTGTGGGCTAAATTAAACCGGTTTGTGGGCCTGATCCATCCCGCGGGTCGTACGTTTGACACCCCTGATTTAGAGATCGTCATTTCAAATCGAAACCCTTTGTTCGTTGAAATTGTTCGCTGAAATTAAATGTTTCAATTAAATGGTGTAAATTAATCAGATTTAGTTTACACACTGTCACCCATCAGATAGAGAGCAAATCAAGTCAAAGGCAGATTCTGCCTGACTAGTGTGTTCAGCTTTAAACTCCACTGTTATAAATGTGATTGTTTACGCTTTTATTGCAAGAAGTGATCCTTTAAAATGTTATACTGCGTTAGATAATATGATTTAAATCAGTGTTTCTCAACCACGTTCCTGGAGGACCACCAACACTGCATGTTTTGGATATCTCCTATGTCTGTTACACACATTGCAGCTCTTTCAGGCTCTGCTAATGAGCTGATGATCTGAATCGGGTGTGTTTGCTTAAGGAGACATGCAATGCTGGTGCTCCTTCTTGTGTGTGGTTGAGAAACACTGATTTAAAGTAATGTTTTCTGATAAATTAGGACTTATGGCAGCTTTAATGGTATGTTTATAGCCTCTCAATGATATTTGGCCCTTAATACGATTAAATTTGAGCACCCCTGATGTAAATCCGATTTATTTCAGCATTCATGTGATGTTTAAATGACGTATAAATGAATCGAGTACAAATTAAGCGTCACTAATGACTGGTTTTGTGCTCCACGGTCACTTTTAACCCTGTGGGATTGTATCCGTTCTGAAATGTACTTTAAAAACACTTCCGAAATGTCCTGCTCGATGATAAATAACCAAAGCTGATCGCAAAGTAGTTGATTAAATTAGGCAGGATCGTCTGTTGTGTGTTTTTTGGGGGGGCTGAGATGGTTAAACGAAACCCCTCTGATTGAATCCTCTCTTTGCCTTTATTGTCTTCTGATTGTATTATTGTATTTATCAACAGTAGAGTCAACAAATAAGGTCAAACTGTTCATCTAATTGAAGTAAACACTCTAAAAATAAAGGTTTGATAGTGTTTGCATGCTCTCTCTGTGTTGGTGTGCTCTGGTTTCCCCCACAGTCCAAACACATGTGATATAGGTGAATTGATTACGTAAATTGGCCTTAGTTTATGAGTGTGTGTGTGTGAATGAGTGTGTATGGGTGTTTCCCAGTACTGGGTTGTGGCTGGAAAGGCATTCACTGTGTAAAACATATGCTGGAATAGTTGGTGGTTCATTCCGCTGTGGCGACCACTGATGTATAAGGGACTAAGCCGAATGAAAATGAATTGCACTGTATCTGACTGATAAACCACTGACTGAACCTTTATTTTGACGAGTGTTTACATCATGTGACTGCTGTGCTGTGGTCATGTGACCTGAGTTGACATCATTAAAGCATTGTTTATCTGAACAAACACTGACTGTGCCACTGGAAAGCTCAGTAGAGACAGTACAGTGTGTGTGTTTCTCCTGGACAGACTGTACTGTATGTGTGTGTGTGGCCGCTAGAACTTCCACTGTCTTCTGCTTCCGTTGTGTCTTCCTGCACACGCCGCCAGTCTGAAGTGAAGCGTAGAGATGATGTTACACCAACACCATGTGGAAGTGTGTTACTGAGATCAAAGCTGCTGTTTTTCTGTCTTCATGTTATGTAACCCGTTAAAACTCTGTAAAAGATTGTGATTTTATTTTATTTGTTTTTATTTTCTTTTATTTTGCTTTATTTTAATTTATTTTAGTTTTATTTTATTTCATTTTATTTAAATTTATTTTTATGTTATTTTATGTTATTTCGTTTTATTTTATTTTATTTATTTTTATTTTATTATTTTTCGTTTTATTTTGCATTATTTTAATTTATTATATTATTTGTTTTAATTATTTTAATTATTTTTTTGTTTTATTCTACTTTATTTTTATTTATTTTATTTTAGTTTTATTTTGCCTTTATTTTTTGTATTTTATTTGTATTTATTTTTTTTTATTTTGCTTAATTTTATTTTATTTATATTTTATTTTATTTGTATTTGTTTATTTTGCTTCATATTTCTATTTTTATTCTATGTTATTTAGCTTTTTTTCATTTAATTATTTAATTGATTTTAAATGTATTTACATTTTTTAATAATCTTATTTTTTAATGTTATTTTTATTTGACCATGTTACTTGATGTAGCTTAACCATTTAACATGTATTTGTTTATATGTCTTTAAGCACTTATGTAACAGTTAAAGCTTTGTGCTGAATGCTTGAATTAAATTTTATTATTATTATTAATATTATTTATATTATTATTATTATTATTATTATTATTATTACTGTCTTTCGATTATTTATTTATTTATTTATTTGTTTGTTTGTTTATTTATTGTATTCCACTTGTGTTTGATATTTTATTCACGTTTATAACTAATCATTTAATTTTTAAGACGATTGTTTAAAACGTGGTAATCAGAATTATTGTTATGATTTTAATGAATATTGATCAGCCTGTTGTCTAGAGTCATTTAGAGTTAAATAAGTAAAACTTGTTTGGGTCAGCATGTACTGTAACCTCAAATTCAACAATTAAATTTTAACCTCATGAGTGTTTTCTGCATTTATCCTTCATTTCATAGCTATACTGTATATGAGAAAGACAGTGTAGTTATTTGTATAAATATTCAATGTTATAATTTGATTTATTTTACAAATGGGTATAAATGTTTATCGGAAATATTTAGTATCATTTCATTTTCATTTTCTCCTACTTATTATATTACATTAATTTGATGAACTTTGTTATTTATGTGTTTTAATTACATTTTAAATTATTTGTTTAAATCTTATGTAAAATATTTTGTAATATTTTTATACTAATATCTTAAATGGCTTATTGCATTATAGATTTTTATTAATCATCTTTTTGTACAATTTTCTTACTAATTTGTGTTTACCATAAATTTTTATTTTAATATTTTATATTTTTGTAGATAACATTATTATAACCATTATTATTATTATTATTATTATTATTATTATTATTATTAATACTTACATCTAAAATGTTTATTGTACTATGAATCTTAGTTATTAATATTTTGTAATAATTTGTGTTTACATAACTGTTTATTGTTTATCTTATAAATATAATAATAATAATTATTATTATTATTAATAATATTACTATTATTATTTCTATTATTATAAATATTTAAGATGTTAATAAAT